AAAACCTGAAAATAAAAATAAAAGTCAACAACAAATTGCTGACTATTTTAACCAGCAAAATCAGAATCTTCATATTGACTATTCAATAGTTTTCAAAATTTTAGGAAAGAAAGCTAAGTGGCTTGCAATTACTTCAACACCAGCTAGCTCTAAAACTTTTCGTCATAAAGAAATTAAATATCCTCAAATTGAAATGGCATTAGGTTTATAGGTTGAAAATGCAAATACTAATAATTTTGCAGTTTCAGAAATGTTACTTAAGGAAAAGGCTTTTTTTTTGTACAAGAGCTTAATATTCCATATAACAAGATATCTTTTTCAAATGGTTAGATAGAAAAGTTCAAAAAATGAAATAATATTTATAACTATCACTTATATGGTGAAGCAAATAGTGCATCGTTAGAAATTCTTTCTGAGGAAAGAAAAAAATTACAAGAAATTTTGCAAGACTACACACTTGACAATATATTCAATGCTGATGAAACTGGTCTTTTTTTTGTATAGCACCTAATAAAACTCTTGCATTAGCTCCCACTCCAGAAACAAAACAGGTAACTCAATCATTTACTTTAAATTGAAGTTTTATTATTGTTTTTTTTTAAGTTTTAAAAATTTTTTTCACAAATTTTTTAGGATAAATCTCGTATTACCATTCTTTTGACTACAAATGCTATTGGTACACAAAAACTTAAACCACTTATAATCAGTTCCTTAAAAAATCCTAGATGTCTCTACCGAATCAATAAAAATTCCCTTACATATAATTATTATGCTAATTCAAAGGCATGGATGAGAAGTGATATTTTTGGTGAATACTGTATAGCACTCTATAAAGTATCCTCTTAAAAAAATACCCTCAGTTAATTGTATCTGAGTATTATACCATTCATATAACATAAAAATTTAATTAATACATGAATACAAACATGAACTTAATATTTTACAAATAAAATTAATAAAATTAAAAAAATAATTAAATTCATTACTTTCAAAAATGTTTATACTT